GCCCAGATCATTGCTTTTGGCCACACAAGAGGAACATCCTTTCTTACCCGCAGAAACTAGGTATCAGAATCACGCAGGGCAGAGCCAGAAAGGCTGGATCTGGGGACCAGCAGGTGGCACGGAGAATAGGGGTGCCATCTCCTTGGAGGAGAGGTGAGGCACGTGCTTCAGGGCCACAGAGAAGTGTTGAGTGAGTGCTGCTGCCAGGTCCCCGTTTGCCCTGCCTGTCCCCCCACCCAGGGGGTGCGGGATGTCAGGAAACCGGGTCTACCTTACTGTTTCTCTCATCCCCGTAGAACACGGGTGCTCCTGTCCAGTGTTCCGATGTGGTTTTCTGTCCAGGTGGCTGAGCTCAAGGCCGCAGCTCCACGAACAGTGCTGGGTTCTGCTCTCACACAATTTCAGCTTGATCCGGGATTGGCAACCCCCTGCCCCAGCCTGGGTTCTCATCCCACTGAGCCTGACCACGGGCTGCTCTGGACCCCCGAAATGGGCCTGGCTCACCCAGGTTCTGCAGACTGGACCTCTGACCCAAACCTGGTGCCCACCCCCCTCCACCCCTGGGTCTGGCCCCACCTCATCCTGCCCCCTCCAGCCTTCCCTGCCTTCTTCCTGCTCAAGCTCTCAGTGCACCCGGAGCTGCAGACGGGACCACAAGGCGTGCCTCTGGAACACACCATGTTCATCCAAAGAGATGTTTTCTCTCCATATCCACGCAACAGAGGGGAGTACTTTCCCCTTGACAGTGTGGACAGTGGAAGGCACAGAACAGCATTTCTAAAGCAGTGCTTAATAGAGCCTTATCCCAGGAACACTGGGAGGCAGGACAGAGGGGGACTATTGAAACAGGCTGCTTTCCTGCAGGATTTGTAAGAGACTTTCTTATTTCACGAAGAGGAGGCTAGAGGCAGTTGCCGCACGTATCTGAAGATATTTTCCAAGAGCTGTCTCACAGGAGACACCTGGGCAATGACAAGGATATTCCAAAGCTGGAAAAGAGCAGGCAGAGGGGAAGGGTCAGGGCGCCCCTTAACACTCAGTGGAGAGCACATCTGGGAGCGGGGCCGCTCAGCACACAGACCTGCTTGGTTTGGCTCGACTGTGTGCCTTGGATGCCAACATTTAAAACTTGGGGCCTCCCATAAAAATTTGGATTTCTGGCTTCTCTTCAAAAGCCGGCCATGCTGGGTCCGCGATCCCTGCGGCTAAGTCTGGAAGAAGGGAGCAAGGATGCCTTCGAGAGAGGACAGAGACTTCGGGGCTGCTCCCTGTCGTCGCTCACCTTCATTCTCTGCCTGGCCCCTGTGAGCCTTTGAGTGGAAACCCTCGCTTTCTGCCTGCTTCTCCGTCACTCCGAGCTTGATGGAAAATCATACTGGAGATGAGGATGCGACACCACACCACAGTCTCGGAATCGCTCTAACTTGTCAGGGGAGTGCAATCCTGCAAAATAAACTTCTTCGGTGTTCCCGGACTCCATATGGATGCTGGAGGGGAGACTGCCCCATGTACAATGGCAAGCATTTCTCTGACTCCACCAGGATGTCCAAGAATTCAACTTGTTTCTGACACTAAGGACCCAGAGACACCATCCGACCCCACAGGTGGCGGGCTCAGTCCCACCGGGCTGCCCCCCCCACCCCCACACTTGAGACCCCAGGCTCCTGCTTCTGACCACTGAGCACTGCAGAATGGAGGCTCCAATGCCCTCCTCCTTAGGTTCAATTAATGTGCTAGCATGACTCACAGAAGTCCCAGAAAGGCTAAGGTTGGCCAGTTTATTAAAGGACATCATAAGGGATATGAACCAGAAGAAGAGATGCATAAGGAGAGGTAGGGGAAGGGTCTTCCATGCTTCTCCAGGATCAGTCTCCCCAACCTGCTGGTGCTCACCAACCCAGAAGTTCTCCAACGCAGTCCTTTTGGGGTATGGAGGCTTCATTGCATCATCACGATTGACTAAGTCCCTGGCCATTGGCTGATCTTATCTCTAGCCCTTCTCCCCTCCCAGGAAGGTCAGGGAGTGGTGCTGAAAGTTCTACCTTTTAGTCACTTGGTTGGCTCCCTGGGCAAGCAGCCCCCATCCAAAGGTGCTTTCCAAAAGCCATCTCGTTAACATAACAAAAGGCCTTTATCACTCTCAACACTCAGGAAATTCCATGGTTTTGGGGAGCTGGCACCAGAAACTGTGGATGAAGACCAACTATTTATGAGGTTTATGTTTTTGTCATTTGACCAAATCGATATTTCTTATGAATTGCAATATCGCACTAACTATGGTCATTCCCTAAAAAGTCCAAGGCAGAGTGTGGATCTCACTCTGAGACAGACAGTGGGATAGCACAGACAGGGCTGGGAGGCTCAGAGACCACCTTCATCTTCCTTAGACCGCTGGGCTTTTGGAAGCCCAGAGAATTCATGGTGCCCCTTTCCTAAGCTAACAGTAGTAATTTTGACAATGTTCCTATCTGATAGCCAGGCAGTGCGTACTCTACCCCGCACACTGGGCATTTATAGGCTTATCACACCCCTGAGAGGTAGGAGGCGTTATCTGTGTGTGCACAAGCAGACCACAGGGCCCACAAAGTTATGAGGACTCGCAAAGGCCAGGCCACTACTTAGCGCTGGCCGTGGGTCGGTCAGAGCCCCCTGGCTCCCCACCCTAAGACTCTCAAATTCCATGGCCCCCCAGAGATGAGGGCAGAAAAACATGCCCTACTCCCTGCTGGGATAAAGGATCAAGTTCCAAACACTCCATGATTATCCTGGCTGTGGCCACAGGCAACATTAACTCTCCTATTTGGATAGGAGCCAGCAAGATTTTACATCAGGGGTCAATGCCAGCAAAGCAAAGGATGACTAACATGAGCATCCCTAGGGGCCAGAATTAAAAATGTCTGATTAGCCTCAGATGTAGGGCTCAGGTGTGCAATCACCATGCAAACTCACAGAACAGACCTGGAGATTACTGTAGAAGGGACTTTTTTTTTTTTTTTTTAATGTTTATTGGATGAAGAATGAAATACCGTAATTTTTCTCTGCTGTCATAGATGCAAACAGCACAGGCTAACACGCTGTGTGTGTGTGTGTGTGTGTGTGTGAGAGAGAGAGAGAGAGAGAGAGAGAGAGAGAAGGATGAGGGTGTGGGGGAGGAAGGGAGCAACTGCTACCTTCTAATTTCCTGTCAGATGAAATACAAACTTGGCCTTGAAATGGTCCATAAGATGACGAGCTATACAGTAAAACTGTTAGAGGGTGTAATTAGCAAATGGGCAATGCTCACAATAAATCCTGAGGTAAAAGAAATCAAAATAAATTATTACTGACACTGCAATGACATTAACCAGGTAAAGATTTGTGTGTTCTATGGACAAAGTGGGAGTTAAACATGAAAAACACAAAGGCGTTCACTTGTTTTGGTGATCGAGTTGTGAAGTTTGGGGGAGCATTCTCCTTTTTGTTAATATTTCCATAACACTGTTTGTGTGACTGGTTCTTGAAATTATCTACAGGATGAAAAAACTGATGGGCTGCAGAGAATTAACCTTCTTCTTAGAAGAATGAAGAAAGAGACAACGGCAATGGGGTGCTGGGACAAGGTCAGACAGATAAGCCAGGTCTACAGAACAGAGAACGGGGGGCATATACATAATCCAAAGTAGGGCTGGGAGTCAGTGTGAAAAAATAGATTTCCTTCTCCACATCACATCCGAAAATAAACCCAGGTAGTTGAGAAGCCCAAATGTGAGAAAGCAACACTAAACTTTTATAAGAAATTCAGATAATCTTTAGTCCTTCAGGGTATGAGAAGGGTCTCTTAAAATGCAAAGACTATACACACTCAGGAGAAAAGGGTCAAATTTAAGAATATTAAAATCAAAAAGCAATTTTTATGCAACGAGAAGACAAAGTTATATTCAAGGCACAGTCTTAAAGACTCCCTGTGCGGAGTAAAGAATTGATTGACAGAGTGAGAAGAAATCAGTGACTTTTTTAAAAAAAGTAACGTCCCAGTTTTTTGGTTTTTGTTTTCTTTTGTTTTTTTGTTTTTTGTTTTTAAGGGCAGTCCCTGGGGGTGCCTGGGTGGCTCGGTTGGTTAAGTACCCAACTCTTAATTCTGGAACAGGTCGTGATCTCAGGTCATGGGATCTAGCCCTGAGTCAGGCTCTGTGCTGGGCGTGGAGCCTGCTTGAGATTCTCTCTCTGCCTCCTCCTCCATCCCTCTCCCCATTCTTGGGCACACTTTTCTCTCTCTCAAAATAAAAAATAAAAAATAAATAAAATTAAAAAGGACAGTCTGTAGACAGGCAAGTCGTGCAAGAAGACAATCAAGGTCATGATGCACCTGTGACAAGATGCGCCTTCTCACTAATCAGAAAACTGCGAAAAGCACGTGACATGCCACTGAACACTTATACGTGTGAGAAGCGGCGGTGTACTGATCGCAGGTGTTGGTGCAGGTGTGGATGTCAGGCCGTTGGAGACCACTATAGGGCCTGTAAACCCAGACACTCGTTTTGGAGAGCAATTTGGCGATAGTTCATAGTTGAGGATGGGTTTTCCTGGATGTGTTCTAATTTGTCCTCTAGAAAGCGCTCTGTGTGTAAAAGGAGACATATGTCCGACTTCCTCATTGTTTCCAGTGCTGTGGAAAACCAGTATGACCTAAGTGCCCATTAATTAAAAAGTAGAAAAATAAATGAACTCATGAGACACATATCATCACGGATCGATGTTAAAAACACGATGTTGAGTGAGAAAGGACACTGAGTATATGGCACCATTTATATAAAAGGAAAAACAAGCCAATCTTGGGTACGACTTATAACCACCGACAAGTCTAGAAAGACTCTGAAGACCGGGTTGTGGATCGCGAACCCCCACATCTGGGAGTGGCAACTTTGGAGGGCGCCTGCCACGCGTTGGCCGCGTCACCGTGAACAAAAGACCTTCCTCCCCGAAGCTAGGATGCCCCCCCCCCCAGCTATCCCCTCACTCACCTTGGATGCCAGTTCCCAGAGCTGTTCCTCTCCCATGTGGGGCTCTTGTGGGGACCCGGTTCTGGAGTTCCAGCCAGGTCCTGGTCACTGCCGTCTTCCTGGTCTGTGGCCCACTTATCTTTGGATTTCAAGCTGTCGTGTTGGGAGTCCAGGGAGATGATGTCTGAGGGGGAGCTCACCACTCCAGAGTCCTCAGCTGTGTCTTCTGATGCGAAACAGCTGCTGACAGACACTGTCTCCTCGGCCTCAGAGAGCACCGGCGGGACCCTGTCTGTGCCGCAGGAACTGCTGGGGCCCAGGGGCAGGCTCACTGGACAAGACATGGCAAGGACAGGTCAGCCAGCACGTTTCCACACCAACCTGCCTGACTCACCTGCGACTGGAATTCAGGGCACAAGGAATCAAGCAAGACCTGTTCCAACCCAACAGCTCCCTCCAGAAACACTTTAACTTGGAGGAACCGAGGCATGTATGTGATCGAGAGCAAAACTCCCTCAAAAACCACATTACGAGTCAGACTTTTGGACTTTTATCCCCTATCTGACTCTGGGCAAGCATATTTAAAAAAAAATCCAGAAGAATGACACAGTGGACGCAGTTCTGCGAAGTTGTTTTAAAATGAGTTCTTTAAAGAAGAACATGATCATTCCCGAATATAAACAGATTTATAAATAGCTAATACTGTTTGGGAACTTCTGACAAATGTTCAGTATAAACATCTGAAATATTAAAGGTGTGCTGTGTTGGCATCTGGCCCCCTCTTCATTTTTATTTTATTTACCCCCCCCTTCACTTTTACACATGAGACTGGGAGATCTGGTCCCAAGAAGAGGTGATCTTAGAGGATCACCTCCAAGAAAAATGAAAAAGAACCAGAACAAAAGTGTGTTGGGTGGAGGTCCTCGGGCCCCCTGAGCATTAAGTGAGCTTTACCACAGCAGAAAAAATGAGATTTGCAAGGATCAGAGTCCCACGGAACTTAAATATTAATGATGGGGGAACACTGTAGCCATTTGGCAACCCTACCCAGCAAGCTCTTCAGACACAGATGCATTAAGCTTGCAAGTAGAGTGCGCTCCCGGGTTCTCTGAAGTCACTGCTCGCTCCACGCCCAGAGGAGGACAGGAGCACCCAATTTTGGACTGGCTGCCTAGCCTAGCAGGGATGTGTCCTTTTAATTTCATGTAGAAACAGATTTTAAACTTCAGTATCTCAGCCCTGGTGGGCCAGGAAGTAAAGGACTATGTTGTGTTGGGAGTATCGTGTATTTTATTTATTTAGTATTTGTAATTTTTTTTTTTTTTTTTATTTTGTTTCAAACCTGTTCTCTGATACAGAGCTGCTGGGCGCCTATTGTGAATACAGGCTATAGGCGTTCCCAGGGCTCACTGCACATAATCAGGCACCGAGACAGGAGCCAGCGTCCCTGTCCTCAACCTCGCCATGGCTTTCATGGGACAGCACACTGGCAACGCAGAATTAACAAGCCCCAAACAGAGCCAAGGAGAACATTCCACCAGGGGTTGGCTTATTTGAGATCCCAAGCAATAAAATAAACAAAAGAACAACAACAACAAAAAAAAGACATTTCACAACAGAGCTCAAAAGTATAGACCAGAACACAAAGGAGGAATTGTTGAGAGAAGCAGAAATGCACAAGGCAATGTGTCCGAATGCAGTGAATGCGTTTGACAACCTGCCTTCCCTAGGCGTTCCTCCTGGCTTTTGTTGCCCGGCTCTTAATGAGAGGGTAAACAGAAAGAGGAAACAACTGCCTCGGGACCAGGACAGCCAGACCCTCCCTGTCCCTGTTCGCTGATGAGCTGTCGCACCTTGAAGGCTACCAGCCGTGCTGCCCACACAGAGGGTGACTCCACCCCGCGATGGCATTCCGGGGACCCCGCTCAGAGGGGCGCCACCGCACAGCCATCAACGGCAGCCCAGATGGCCAAGCCAGACCCGTTTCTCTGCCTTCCCTTTTGTCACTGTCGCACAAGTAGGTCAATTAAGTTCACACTTTTTCTTCTGTGTGGTGTAGGACACCGGGGAAGAGCAAAAAGATTTCAGGTCACGGAGACCTGCATTCGAATCCCAGCCGAGCAGCTGAATGGCGGCTAGGGCAGGGGTCTGGATGGACCCATCTGTCTCAGTTTTGTCTGGGAGGAGGCTCATGGGCCACCACAGGATTGTGGGGAGGGCTCGGCGTGATGCCCATCACAGTGCAATGGCCCTGGTGTGCCTCCAGAACTGGCGGGGGCGGGGGTGGGGGGCTGTGGGGGTGTGTGTGCCAAGATGGGAAGGGCTCTGTGATCAGACTCAGGACAAAGATTTCCAATCCAAGAGTCTTGGTAATCTGGGGACACATGGCTGAAGAGGGGACAGATGCGCACAGAGACCGACGGTGCCATATGCTAATACCAACTCAAGGTGCATTTGCACAGGTTGAATACGGATGGCTGGTCAGAGGGAGGGGTCAATGCACAGCAGGTACCAGATAGGTGCTCCGTGCAGCCTGGGCCCCCTTCTTCCCCCCAGCATCACTTCCCGAGTGGGAAGTAACCCCAAGGGGTCTGCTCCCCGAAGCTGACCTCTCAACGGGTCCCACCCACAGTGGGGACATTCTCCTGACCCACACAAGCCCTGGAAACTCAGAACGCATCCCTGGTGGACGGGGGACTCCAAGCCCACACGGCCCCCTTTCTCTCCAGTTATGAGATCCAGAATGCCGGTCTGGGCTTGCTTTATATCCTTCAGAAGTTTTGAGAGGAAAAAAAAAGTTGAAAGTCACTGCTCTACATTAAGGCAACTGCAAACCTAAACTGACAAGGTGTGAGAAGGCGTCTGGAGCGCGTACGTGTGAAACTATTTTCACAATATATACACAATTAAGACCGCAGTTACTGGAGCTCCCCTCTTGCCCAGGCGAGCCCTCCACTTCTCATGGATCCTCTTCCAGGGCCTGGCTAGCTGCATCGTTGAACCCACTAGGCAGGTGTTCAGTGAACAGCCCCCCACCCCCCCACCCCCTGCCCATGCACCATGCCTGGGGCCAGAGAGCCGGAGCTGGGCAGGAGTGTAAGGGCAGTCCTGCTCTCCGGAGGGTGGTCACACAGGCATTGGAAGGACGGGTGCATAAATGCCGAGGGACAAGGAACGGGAGCAATGCCACATGCAGCAGGTGGTGGGGACGTGTCCGCAAGGACGGGAGGACAGAACGATGGCAGTGATGCGGGCACTCAGCCCAGGGGACAGGCCAAGCAGAGAGAGAGCGGCAGGCGCAAGGGCTCAGACTCCTGTGAGCGACTTCCGGCCACACTTCCTGGGGAGCCGTCAAAGACGGCACCGATTTGGAGATAGGAAGGACCCTTCCTGGGAGGATCCAACCTGGCTCATTGTGATTTTCATGTCTGTCTGCAGTTCTGTCAGTCTGAGAATCTTTGCTTGGGATCAGATACCCCCTCCTCACTCGCCCTGCCCCGACTTCCCCTTTTTCCTCTGCTGGGCTGGTTTCTGCTATTAACCCTGTGAGATGTAACATGTTTTGACAATTTCTGAATAAGATAAGGGTGCGGGAGACTTTTTGCCTTATCGATAAACAGAAGCCCCAAACATTAAAGCTTGGAGGTGCTTTGGCTGTCATGAGATTGGGGCCTTCTAGATCCTTCTGTGCACGCCTCACCTCCCTCACTTAAGTCCCTGATTCCATGAAGCCAGTGGTCCAGGGACCCCAGCCTGACATCCAGGGGCAGATGGATGAAGGCTGGATTAAGAGCCTGAATCCCACATTGAGGTCCAAGTTCTGCTCTGAACTTGGAATAGCCTTTCCCCTTTCTGTAAAATAAGCGGGTTCTGATGAGCTCTAAAGTCCCTTCCAGAAACAGAATGCTACCATTCTCTGAAATCCTAAATCAAAATGTAAGACACAAACATTCTTCGGATAATTGACTGGTGACTAACTAGGAATCATAAAAGGAATACGACAACATTGATATCCTTTCCGCTGTCTTCTGTTGGCCCTAAAAGTGTAGCTCATGATTTCTGAGTTAATTAATTCGCTGGCAAGTTTGCTCTTCTCTTAAGGTGTGAACAACATTTTGGAGCTAAAAAGTTATGACAAGATTTTTGCAAATGTGAAAAACACACTTAATTTATCATTAGCAGAAGCCTAATACAAATTCATGATTAAATTCTCTTCTAAATGAACAGCCGTAAAAGCTGAATAAGAAATACTAACCCTTCAACGGACGAATGGATAAGGAAGATGTGGTCCATATACACTATGGAGTATTATGCCTCCATCAGAAAGGATGAATACCCAACTTTTGTAGCAACATGGACAGGACTGGAAGAGATTATGCTGAGTGAAATAAGTCAAGCAGAGAGAGTCAATTATCATATGGTTTCACTTATTTGTGGAGCATAACGAATAACATGGAGGACAAGGGGAAATGGAGAGGAGAAGGGAGTTGGGGGAAATTGGAAGGGGAGGTGAACCATGAGAGACTATGGACTCTGAAAAACAATCTGAGGGTTTTGAAGGGGTGGGGGGTGGGAGGTTGGGGGAACAAGGTGGTGGGTATTGTAGAGGGCACGGATTGCATGGAGTATTGGGTGTGGTGCAAAAATAATGAATACTGTTATGCTGAAAAAATAAAAAATTAAAAAAAAAAAAAAGAAATACTAACCCTTTCATTGTCCTCCACCTTAACTTTATGATGGCATGGTTCAAATACCATTCGATCTAAACGAGAGCTTCAGGAAATTTCTCTAGCTAAGACGTAAGGAAGAAAATGCTCATTTAAGGTTCCCAATTCCTCAAGGTGAACACCATTGTGTTCCATTTAATACGAGTTTCATTGAGTTTTTCTTTTACAAAGTCACCAAAGAAAATTTCAAACACTACATCTAAGGATCTTCCAAGGACTTTTGTAACAGATTCAGTTTTGAGTGATTTTATTAAATGCAAAGGAAAGATCACGTGCCCTGCGGTATTGTTCACTTTCTGGTCACTACCAAGGGAGACTTCCCAGGGTCACGTCTGCCACATGGATGAGGGCCAGAGAAAATGTCTCACAGGCTTCTTCGCCATCTCACATGCCATTCACAGACAGGAAGCAATGCTCCTCCTTTATCTCCATCTACTGTGAATTAGATCCCTATGTTCTAGATACTGGGAATAAAGGCAAAAATAAGGGAACTCCTGGCAAAGTGCCCAGGAACCAGTGGTGCGAACTGGTAGGTGCATGTTAGTAATTTTCATCATGTACATCCCCTAGTAATTTTGAACCGACCACTAAGTACTCCTAACAT